ACACGTTTAGATTGAATGGTAATTTATAATCAGTCACAAGAACGTCGAATCTGAATCACTTGAAAAAAACACGGGGGTGCTTAACTTTTTTCCGGGTGTATATATTGAACCACACATTGTCTGCGTCTAAGTATACAGCATGTTTAGTACTCCAGTGTAAATCCCTAAGACCGTTATTAATTGCTGTAAATGTTTGTTTGTAATGGAAAAAGTGAATATATCGTTACATACTATATGAACATTAACCGGGCGAAACCGGAGTCGACATTAATATCCTGCGTTAGCTTACTCATAAGACAGAAGAGCTGTAATCTTTTTCATCCTGGAGCAGGTCGTACAACAACAGCATCAATAGGAGAAGATTGCACTAGTAATTAATAATAACTTGAGATCAGAGCAAGCTATGTACTAATAGTAAAAATAAAATTAACCTGTCAATTAGTATAACTAATTAGATATACTTTCCTTACGTTTCTAGTTATATAGATTAAAATGCATTGTTTCATCAGTTGGGTACCCTCACTGTTAAGGATATTTTCGGCCGTAATACTGTAACATTATTAATACTCTAATTTATAGTAGCCAAGTTAAATGCATTGAAGTTATCTGAAGATACTATGAGATGTGTCTATGCACAACTATTCCACTGTTAAGACCACACCTATCCCTTTCACACATGGTCAATTTCAAGAATGGGCATTCAGAAGTAATAACTTAAGTTAAACCCAAAGAACTAGCCGAAATGGATTAGTGATAATGAAATATGAAGAATACCACAGTAATAATAAGACTTAAGCAAAGCAATGAAATATTAATAAAAGAGTTAAAGTAGTTAACGGAAAACAAATGTAGCTAAACTGTGTTATACACTGAGTGGTCACAAGTAAATAGACACCTAATTTTTCGTCATTTAACTGATTTATGCTAACTAATTTGTGTTCACAGAGCACTATATAATTATCTTGTGCTACAACATGCCTAGAACTCAGAGTTCTCTCGAATTATCAGATTTTGTTAAAGGAAGGATAGTTGGTCAAGCAGATGGTAAAATAAGTCAGCGGCAAATTTCGCAGAATTTGGGAATCCCGCTTTCGACAGTCAACAGAATCATCCTGCAGTTCAGGAAACAACTGAGCAGCGTCCGGGTTGTCCTGGTCCATCGGAGAGGACAAAAAGGGCTGTCAAGAGGAGCATCGAAATGGATCCTAGATTAACGAC